TTCACTCAACTCCCTTTGCATGAATGCATAATTAAGCTACTGTTGTCTTCCTAGTCGTTACTTCTTGCAGGAGTCCAGCCTGTGAGTCTTTCAGTTTCAGGATCTCTGCTCTTTAAACTGCTGAAAGAATCAATGAGTAAATCTCAACGTGAATGTGATACAATAAGAAGCTTAGAGGATTTTCTGTATCTGTGACAGCAAAAGTGAAAGGGATGTTAGAGAAGTGTGTGTGTGTGAGAGAGAGAGAGACAGAGAGAGAGAGAGAGAGAGAGAGGAATCAATATTCATATTACACCTTTAGGGCTGTGATCATCATCCTAACATCCTCCTGTTGCTGCCTCGACAGGATTGCGCTCGTTTGTATCCTCCTGATTCGTATCTTCTAACAATGAGACCGTTTTGAACCTCTGGTGGGGATTTTGTACCTAATGCAGCAGTGCAAAAATCTTCACAGCTGCATGCATGAGTAGGCCTACCCATTCATTTCAGATATTTTCATTCAATTATACACTCACACTGAAAGTGAAGCATTTACAACACTTTTCTAGTCTTAGAAAACAGTTTATAAGACCAGTTAACCTAAAATGTTTTATATGAAGCTTATCTGGAGCACCTGGAAAAAAACCCCAGCAGGAACAAGAAGAACAAAGGCAAACAGCCTGCATCCATCCAGTCTTTGCTAACCCAACACTGACATACAAGACTGACAGAATGCATTTAAAGTTTGTCCTGTAACTTAAAAACATAGAAAACTGTGAAAACCTAAAAACTGCAAAATATAATATGCTGTATATTGATGTATCTTTTACCTCAATATCTCCACACCTTAAAATGGTGCTAATATGGAAACCTACAAACACCTTTGTGGTCCTTGAAAAGGCGCATTGTTGTCTTGAGGTGCATTAAGCCCACATTTGTGTAGACGGTACCTGTAGGGACAGAAACAGACTTCTGCTGAGCCCCAGGTTCTGTTTCTGTCACGGCTGTCGAGGCGAGCCGTGTGGTGTTGGAGGGAAAAGGACCCAAAATGCAGGCAGTTGACTGATAATGCAAGTGACGTTTATTTACAAATAATAGGGTGACGGAGCTGACAGTGAGAAATGACTAAAGAAACCTAAACTGGGAAAACTAAATAACAAACCTGAGAACATAAGAAACGGGGTGCAGGGCAGCGAGAGGACCGAAACACCAATGGAACACAGACAAGCCGACAAAAAGCACAGACCGACACCCACTCACACACAAGGAAATCAGGTAATCACACACAGGAGGGAAGAACAGCTGATCCTAGTACACAAAGACGACTGGAGGATACAAGCTGAACACAATGATAACAGACACAGACCTTCAAAATAAAACAGGAAATCCAGAACACGAACAGGGCACAAGGGAAGAACACAGGACACCAAAATCTGAATAATTAGAACAGAAGAAAATAACCATAAAGCACAAAACGCTGGGTCAACGACCCAGCACCACGACAGTTTCTGTGAGTGCATGTTAGCAAAGTGAAAAATGAAATAATAGAGCCATGTGCATCAATAACACAATCAGCCCAATGGAAACAGTGCAAATGTGTTCAGCTTTGCAAAGCAAACAGTGGCACATTGGGATGCAAATAAAAAAGCAGCGAATGGAAAATCAGCAAGTCATGTGATTCTGCACATGTGAGCCCGGCTGTTGACATAGTAAGCATGAGTTAGCATGTGGGTGACATGAGCGTTTGCAGGGAGAAGGATGTTTAAGCGATATCAGCACAGAAATGCTGCTGAACGGGAACCTGAACTGCACAGTAAGCTTCTGTATCCGAACACTGCTCCTCACATCAGCAGTAAAAGGAACTGTTGTTGCTAGGGAAGGCTCGTCAGCCATAATGAGTGAATGGACTGAAGCAGAGAGCTGCAAATACAAGGTTACGCAAACACGAGGACAAAACCCAGGCACTCAGAAAGCGTTTATTGTAGTGCAATCAAGTTAACAACATCTAAGATCCCCAAGTCTGTCTTTTTGTAAGGAAGGAAAAAGCTTCCCTGGCAACTGTTTCTGGACTGATTGCTCTCATGTGACAAGATTACGCAGTCAAACATGGATACAGAGAGCGGGAGACAGAGGGGGGAGTGTGTGTTTGTCAGGGAGAGAGCAGGGCTGATGAGTCAGAGGAGGCTGATTCTGACGCAATCCTCCCTCCTCTTCCTCTGCCTACATTACTGTTTCTTGAAGGCTGATCCTTCTTCCCCTGCAAGAAACAAACATAAAGGCATTAATGTAACTGACCTACTCTTTACCATCGCTGATTCCATATGTTATGTAATTCTGGATATACTTCACAGTATTTCTTCAGGTTATCATTATATGAGCCTGAGCAATAGTCTAATGCTTTACATTTGGGAGATTATTTCAAGATATCTCCAACTTTAAACGTACATTCTACTTAAATCTAATGCTATGATATCTAGAAGTACACCTAGTTTAAGTGTACAGGCCTGTGGATTGTTGATTATTTGGTAATTCAGTTCTTTTTAGTTAAAAAAAAACCATTTCAGATATCCACAGGGACGTTATTTCCACATCCACAGTGGTTATACTTACACATCCATGTTATTTGTCCATGAACAAAAATGACTCATGATGAGTCGTTCATGAGGCTTTCACTTTCACTAAATACAGTTTCACTTTTTCATTCTTGAATAAAATCCTGTGGTTCAAATGGTTTTCTTTTATAATTTTTATTTCAGATACAAATTAGATTTTAACAGGTAAAAGTTTCACTTCAGATGTTTCAAATTAAAAGTAAAACTTTTTAAGATAAAGTTGCAAATATGTATAAATGTTTAGCAGTGGACAGAGGATCAAAAAGCTCCACTGACTATTAAACTTATGACATCAACAACAACATGTGTCTCAGTCAAAATTATATTCTTTATAGTGAGAACCAAGAAAGACAAAGTCAGTAACTGTACTATAAATAGAGTATCTGTATTTTCTATGAGATACTTATCAACAAATACTGCAGTACATATACACCACCTATCAAATTTCAGCTTGCACTGGTGAATGCAAGTGTTTACATTTAAAATGTGATTTACAAAAGTTACAAGACTGATAAAGAAGAATTATGTAAACAAATTTATGAAATGTGCATCTTTGTTGTCGTTATCAATATTGCCTCTATAAGCTCACCAGTAAAACTATTTGTTTAACAATAAACAGTCAGTCGATACAAACATATGATCACATACAGGATGTGCAGTTCAGTTTCATTCCACTGTGCAACATTTTCAGGCCGGTTGCACAATAATCACACCCTTATTGTGCAGATTGAGTTTTTATCTAACATCCAACAGATCACCGGCTGTTCCCTGAGTGTGCCTGGGGGAACATGGTTTTGAATAACTGCTGTCTAAATGAATTACCTGCTAACTGAAATCTGGGATCAAAAGATGTTGCTTTCATTATTTTGATAACACAGTTACGTGTCTGATAATCTCATTGGAATCCAGCAGTGAAATGATAACTCCACTTTAACGTGATGCAAAAGTCTCGACTCATCAGGGACTACTTCAGTGAAGCTTATTGTCCATTTTCAAGTCTTATTTGAAATACAAATACACACAAGGTGTACATAACGCTCCACAGGCACATAATACCTGAAAAATAACAAGACTAGAGAAATACCAAAAGCATTTTTCAAAATTACATTAAAAAATAGAGACAAAAGCGGAGATGATGGATATGCGTATAAAGAGACATACATACTAGATAGGACAGGGTAGGGGAAGGAATAGATTGTAGTTTAATGTCAGAACAAGTTAAATTGTTGTTAAAAAACTATTTATATAAAACCCCCTGTTTATCCCCTTTTCCTGCTTTAATCTGTAAAATAACACTCATCACTTCCAGCTGAATCCCACCTCCTTCCAGGGAACACTCAGTGCAGAACACAAGAACGTACTTTATGGGTAAAACTGCTCCTGGATCAGCGTCGCTCTTGCACACTGGGGGCATTGTTGGCAAGGCGTCTACGTGGGATAAGCGCATGCGCATTGTTTCATGGTGCAACGCAGACGCAGATCGACAGCAATCACGATCAGAAGAAAAAAAACAGATGTCAGTATTTTTCTTTGACAAACTCCGACAAATGAGATGTGGATTATTATGGCGATCATAAACGGATTACAGGTGCAAGAGTTCGGCAAACAGCGCAATCAGTAAAACTGCAATCGTTTTTAGTCACGTGGTCACGCCTGGCCAATCAGAACGAGCCAAATCCGACGGAAAGTATGTCCTTTGTTCGGATATTTCGACAACTTTATTCGCCTAATTGTGGCGAATAATCTGCGCGTCTCTCTGGATATGGACACGGCGTTTTTATGAGCTCGGGCTCGCGTTGAACACATTTTATCGCGGTGTTTGCAGAATGCCACGTGTCCAGATTTGATGAACGGGCACGAGTCGTCACATGACTCCCCTCCCCCACCCTGCGCAGGGAATGGGGGAAGAAGGCGGACATGTTTGAGGGAAATGTGTTGGTTAAAAAGTATCGAGCTGTGAAGACAAGAAGATAATTTGAAGAAAGGTTTCGCATTATTTTGGGATTTATCATTGGATTTCTTACTTACTTTACATTCCAGACTTTATTGACTTATACTCAACATTCATTTTATATTTTTTATATATATATTTAAAAATGTTTAGTTTAATGTTTGTTTTTACAGCACAATGTTATGAAAACGTTAGAAATATTTGAAGCTGTATTAATATGTGCCAGTGCTGTATCGTGTATTTCAGTGACATTGCAGGGAATTTGTAACCTTGGTGTGGGGGATGGGCTCAGTGGTTAGGTAACCTTTTGTGTGTCGTCGTTTCAATGAGTTTAAGTCGTTTTTGTTTTTTTATAAAGAAGCCGCTTATATAGGTTTATTAAGTACGATTTTTGTACTATTATCTTTATGTTATTTGGTCTTTTATTGTTTGGTTGAACCACAAAGGTGTGGTTTGATGGTTTAATCTTTAAAACAATAGTCCAATCTTTAATTTAATTATTCCCTTGGACTGTATTGGTTAACGTAGTTGTAAATATTTCGGTTGGAGCTTGATTTAATCAGGCTTTGGATGAGGTTGTTAATGAAAACTGCTGTGTCATTCAGGCGTTGGTTTCTGTGACCTTCTTATAGGTGTTCGTGTTAGGTTTTTATTGCTGATGAAAGATGTAAATGATGGCTTCAGCACAAACATCGTTTAGTTAAATTATGTGTAAGGCCTGATCTGCGCCCTTTCACAGCGTGTAACTGCGGGTCGTGGAGGCCTCGTTTTACAGGCTTGGCTGGTCTGACTGTTAAAATTGTGGCGCTTTCTTCACCAAGTGTTGGGATCTTACACCGTTTGCGCGTGTAAATCGAATATACGGCGTTTTACAGGTTTTTCTTGACATTGTGTGTTTTGAGTTGAGGGTTATTTGATCATATTACTGTCTCTCAACGTGCTTAAAGATGGCGGCTGTGCTTCGTTTCCCTTAGATAAAAATGCGGATGTACTGTTTAGTACAACGCTCGTGGGAAGAAGCCCTTGGCTCTTCGAGGGTACGCGTGACTGGATGCAACAACCAATAGGCTTCATGGTATTTACCCTGAAAGCCCGCGTTACAGCAGCTTTGACCAATACCCGTCGTCGCTCTCAACACGTTGACGTAATGTAATATGATATGGAGCAGGCTGGCTTCCTTGCCCTCGCTTTCTGTGGGGGATAATATGGCGGAGCCAGTTGCATACAGTATATCTTAAAGGCTGTAGAAGGGTGGACCAATAGTGTTGTGCAACTTATTTGACGGACAGGAAAATCTTGCGAATAGGCTGACCTGAATTGCAGGTTGGAGAGTTTCAGTATCCAGGGGTGTGGTCATTTTAACTGAGGTCGTGAACAGCCAGTAGAAATCCAAGGGGTGGGGACGTTTTGGGGTGGTGTGTCCAATGGGTTTTGCGACGGGTCTATAAAAAGCCGGGTGTAGTCGCATAGTCGCCATTTCAGCGAAGCAGATTTGAAAGAGAGCTCCGTGGCGGGGAACGGAGAGATCTGACGACTGGAGACGGATCCTGGTTTGAGTGTAGCTAAAAACAGAATCCGGATCCATCCCGATGGAAATGGCTGTTAACCCGCTCATTGACAGGTATCTACCGGCATAACTGACTCTCAGCTTTCCATCAGTCGGAATATTGTGAACATTTATGGTTATTTATTTTAAATATAACGGAACGGGCACCCTGTTTGCTGTAATGCCAGTTGAAGAGAGGTGGACGCTGAGTATGCTACAGGAAGGACTTTATCGCGTCGTTACAGGCATTAGAAGTGACTTTCATGTGGAAGAAGTAAGGTTGTTTTGGGCTTTTTAACATAACAAACTGCGACTGTTGAGCGCTGTGCCGGCGCCATTTTCGGCTGCCGTTGGCCGCTCTCTCACACTGTCTAGCAGTTAGCATTACTAGCTCTAGCCTGAGCCCAAAGGGTTGCTCATGAGACGCGTAAGTATCACGTTTGGTGCTGTATGTCTGCGTTTATTGACAGTGACAATTGACAATGCTGACCTGGCATCTTTTAAGAAGGCTTTATCTAATGTATAAATGTGGCATTTGTGTAGCACAAAACCATAGTTAAACTTGATCGTTGTGCAAGTACATACATAGGGGGGTCGGGCGCACAGCCACGGCAGAGTCACTGCGTGTTTCGCTGGTTTGTTGTTGTAGCCATGTGGCGGTCATGGGGTTGTTGTGATCGCCGGTGTAACGACTCCATTGTAGCATAACGGCTAACGCTCTGTTATCAGTAGCACCACTACCAGTTATTTATGTATTATTAAAGTAGTATTGTCACACATACAGAGAGCCTGTCAATGTCTCTGGTAAATGTGATTTTTAATGTAGGGTTATTAGTATATATGTTGGGTGTTTCCCTTGGTTGCCTGGTTACAGCGCACACTAGCCCCAGTAGTTAGCAGCTGCTATCATTTTGAACTAATCCGATAATGCCAAAAAACTGTCTCTAAATATGATAAATTTTTAATACTTTAATGGAGAATCTATTTTTTGTCTCCTAATTTGTTAAATATTTTTTGAGGCCAACATGTTTTTTGTGTAGTGCTGTTATATTTTGTACATGATTATTTCCCTTTTTAATAATAAAGTACACTAACTGTCAAATGTGTTTCCAACAGTTGTATCATTTAAAATGACTGCTTTACAATAGCTTTGCACTCCTTTTGTTGTATCATGTTGCTAATTCTTCTTACATTTTGTGTGTAGGGTGGATCAGTGCAAACATACCCTTAGGCTATGCATAGGAGACTTAAGCTACTAACCCCATGGGTTATATTACTTGCACTGTTTGCTTAAATGTGGAACTTAAAAAAACGATTTTCTGTTTTGACTTAATGGTAATGGTGCAGCATCCAATAATACAACACCAGCTGTTTCAGGCTTTTGGTAGAGACCAGTTTTCAGGCGGGTGACCTTAAATACCCCCTCTTGCCTTGGTTAGTCTTATAAGTCTTGTGGTTCAGATGGTGGGCCAGTGAAGGTGGATCATGGTGAGTCAATACCTTGCAGCACTGAAAGGACAACTGAATAAACAGAATTGCTGTTTTTTTTACATTTTTCTTTTTAAATTAAAAATACTAGCATTAGTGTCACTGTAGATTTGATGCTAATGCCACCAACAGTCCCCATCCAAGTAACCAGACTCTGAAAATACTGCACAGTTAATGACATAAAATACAACTACTGTTACTTTATATCCAGTACCCGTAACTATACTGTTTGGCTCTGGAGTGTATAAGGATATGCTTTCTTTACACCTTAGTGTTATTAAAGGTACACATGGAGGCACAATGGTAAGTCAGGTACAACACCAGAGTTCAACAGAGATGGTCTTCCTTCGCTGGTGCAAAGTGTCGTGTTACGTATTGGTAATGTGACTTTTGTATAGAACTGTTTTCTCCTGTCATCTAAACATAACTCTGAAGTCACCAGGCGCTCATAGGTACAGTCATGGTTGCAGAGAACGAGTTTAGACAGTCGGTGTCTCGCACCTGTCAAACACAGAACAACAAGAAGTAGGAGTGGCTTAGTGTTAATACTGTGACAAGTTAATGTGTACCCTAAGCTCTGTTTATATATCATCACAATCCTGTGTTAATGACTAATGGGTGGCTTGTGGTAGACAAGGTTAGGAATTAGAATTTGTGTGTAAATTTTCTACACTATTCCAGTCATTACAGTAACATGGCAGCTTAAACTCCTCCCACAATCTAAGTTGTTGTTTTTTTTAAGCATGGAAACGGGTGTTGGGTGTCTGAGTGAGACGTGTAGAAGAGGAAGTGCTTGTACCAGTTCACCCAGTGTGAGCGCTCAGGGTCAGGCAGATGGGTGCTTGCTAACAAACGTGTAGTATCCTTTTTGACTTTGTATCAAATTTGACATGATAACAGGAAGCATACGTCAACAAGGGAACACTTATTTATTATGAAAGTTGATTAGCTTACATGGTAATCCCAGGATGTACAGCACAGAATATTCATTGTAACCTTTCTATAATGAGAAGAAAAACTTAATAGAATTTCATCATCACAGCTCAAACCAAAATACTCAGTTCCTTTGTAACTGTGCTCTCTGCAGCTCCCATGTTGGGCCTGATGCCAGTATGTTGGGAATAATGATGGATCAGAACTGTGGCACAGCTGGAAAACGCATCCGAAAACCTTCACTGCTCTACGAGGGCTTTGAGAGTCCTGGAATGCCCCCCCACAGCCAGATGACCCCTTCCGGGCCCCCGCAGCCCCCGGTGAAGGACCCCAACCGCCAGGGGAGGATGACCAACCAACTGCAGTTCCTGCAGAAAGTCCTGCTCAAATCTTTGTGGAGGCACCACTTTGCCTGGCCTTTTCATGAACCCGTGGATGCTGTCAAGCTCAGCCTGCCGGTGAGTGTATAGTTTCAGGTTTCAGTTCCTGTTTAAAGAGTGAAGTTTGAATGTTTCCTACCCTGAAAATGCCTCTCTTCCTCCAGGACTATCACAAGATCATAAAAAATCCAATGGACATGGGCACAATTAAGAAGAGAATTAA